CAGTGCAGCTTTACATTTTGATAATTTTTAAAGACTGAAGTAGGTGTGCCTACTGATATATAGATGCAGAAGGAAACTCAGCTTATGGTCTAAAATATGCACTGCTGATGACATTATGAATTTTAACTTTTGGCTAGAGAACCACATATTATTATGTCTTTACTACAATTCAAGAAGGGAAACCAACATGGAGATGTTATATCACAGTTAATTATTATATTCAACACATACTTCTTAACAAATCTGTGTTTTTCTTGACTGATTCTCATAAGGGAATTGAATAATTTGGAGATGTAGTCTAATTTCTCTCTAGTAGGGCTAGAATTTGCCAACTAATCTTGTGAAAGGGTTGTGAAGGAGTTCTAAGAGGGAAGTTTATAGCACTAATGCCTACATTAATAAAAAAGAAAGATCTCAAATAAACAACTTAACTTTACAACTCAAGGAAATAGAAAAAGAAGAACTAGTCAAGCCTAAAGCCTGCAGAAGAAAAAATAAAGAGTATACCAGAAATAAATGAAATAGAGATTAGAAAAATAATTGAAAAGATCAATTAAACTAACTTGGCTTATGAAAAGGTAAAGAAAATTAACAAGCCTGTAGCTAGACCAAGAAGACAAAGTGAGAAATGAATTAGGAAACATTACAATTGATACCACGGAAGTACAAAGGATCATCAGAGACTACACTAAACAATTATACACCAACAAATTGGTTAACCTAGAAAAAATGGAAAAATTCCTGGAAACTACACCCTACTAAGACTGAACCATGAAAAAATAGGAAATCTGAACAGACCAATAATGAGTAAGGAGATTGAATCAGCAGGAAAATGTCTTGCAAAAAAGAAAAGCTTCACTGGTCAATTTTACCAAATAGTTAATGAAAAATTAACACTAATTCTCCTCAAACTCTTCCAAAAAGTTGAAGAGAGGGAAAATTTCCAAGATAATTTTATGTGGCATTACTCTGATATCAAAGCCAGATAAAGGCCCTATCAGAAAAAAAAAATACAGGCCAATATCTCTGAGGAACATGCAAAAATCCTTAAGAGAAATACTAGCACACTGAATTCAACAGCAAATGAAAAGGATCATACACCATCATTAAGCAGGATTTATCCCTGGGATGCAAGAATGGTTCAGCATATGCAAATCAATATATGTGATATACTGCACTAACAGAATGAATAAATGATAAAAATCATATGCTCATCTCAATAGATGCAAAAACAGCATTTTATAAAATTTAACGTCTTTTTATGGCAAAAACTCAACAAATTAGGTATAATAGGAATGTACCTCAACACAACAAAGTCCATATATGACAACCCCACAGCTAACATCATACTCAGTGATATAAAGCTGAAATCTTTTCCTCTAGGGTCAGGAGCAAGACAATAATGCCCACCCTCACCACTTCTATTCAATATGATATAAAAGTTCTAGCCAGAGCAATTAGGCAAGAGCAAGAAATAAAAGGCATCTAAATTTAGAAGGGAATAAGTTTATTGTCCTTGTTTGCAGATAACATGATCTTTTCTATAGAGAACTCTAATGATTCCATGAAAAAATTGATAGAACTAATAAACAAATACAGTAAAGTTGTAGGATCCAAAATCAACATACAAAAATCAGTAGTGTTTCTTTATACTAACAACAATCTATCTGAAACAGAAATCAAGAAAACAATCCCATTTACAATGGCATAAAAAATACCTAGGAATAAATTTAACTGAGGAGTTAAAAGACGTGTACACTGAAAAGTGTAAAACATTGATGTGCAAACTTGAAGACACAAATAAATGAAAAGATAGTCTGTGTTTATGGATTGAAATAATTAATATTGTTAAAATGTCCATATTACCCAAAGTGATCTACAAATTCAAAGCAATCCCTATCAAAATTTCAATGAAATTTTTCATGGAAATATAAAAACCAATCTTAAAATCTGTATGGCACCACAAAAGACCCACATTAGTCCAAGGAATCTTGGGCAACAAGAACAAAGCTGGAGGCATCACATTACCTGACATCAAACTATACTACAAAGTTATACAAATCAAAATAGCATGGTGCTGGCATAAAAAGTGACATATAGACCAATGAAATGGAGTAGATGTCCCAGAAATGAATCTGTACATTTTCAGTCAATTGATCTTTGACAAAGGTTGCAAAGACACGAAATGAGGAAAGGACAGCCTTTTCAATAAACGTGAGTTGGGAAAACTAGATATCCATACTGCAGAAGAACAAAATTGGATCTTCACTTCAAATCATATTTAAAAAATCAAGTCAGAATGAATTAAATGCCTAAATGTAAGACCTGAAACTATAAAACTACTAGAAGGAAACATAGGTGAAAAACTTTTTGATATTGGTTTGGGCATTGAGTTTTTTGTATATAAACCTAAAAACACAGGCATCAAAAGCAAAAATTAGACAAATGGGATTTCATCAAGCTAAAAAGCTTCTGCATAGAAAGAAAACAATTGATAGAGTGCAGAGACAACCTATGGAATCAGAGAAAATATCTGCAAACCATACCTTTGCAAATGGCTTAATATCCAAAATACATAAGGAATTCAAAAAACTCGATAGTAAGAAAACAAATTACCCAATTAAAAAATGGACAGAGGACCTGAAAAGACATTTCTCAAAGCAAGACATACAAGTGAGCAACAGTATATGAAAAAATACTAACATCACTAACCATCAGGAAAATGCAAATTAAAATCACAATGAGATATTACCTCACACCTGTTTAAATGGCCATTATCAAAAAGACAAAAGATAACAGGTGTTGGTGGGAATGTAGATTACTATAGCCATTATGGAAAACACTATGGAGGTTTCTCAAAAAATTAAGAATGGAACTACCATATGACCCAGCAATCCCTCTACTGGGTATATAAGTAAAGGAGCCCAAGAGATATTTGCACTGCCATGCTCATTGCAGCATTTTCAAAACAGCCAAGATATATAGCCTTAGTGCCCACTACCAAATGAATGGGTCAAGAAAATGTGGTATATATACTCAGTGGACTACTACTCAGCCTTTAAACAGAAGGAAATTTTTTCATTTGTGACAACATAGATGAACCTGGAGGACATTATGCTACGTGAAACAAGCCAGGCACAAAGAGACAAATACTTCATGACCTTACTTATATATGGAATCTAAAAAAGGCTGCACTCGTAGAGCAGAGAGTGAAATGGTAGTTACCAGGGGCTGGGGGAGAAATTGGGCACAGGGTATAAAGTTTCAGTTGGATGTATGAATACGCTTGGAGGTGTACTGCACAGCATGGTAACTACAGTTAATAGTACGGTGTTGCATACTTGAAAATTGCAAAGAGAGTAGATTTTAAGTGTTCTTACCACAAAAAATGGTAAAGATGTGAGGAGATAAATATGTTAATTAACTTATTTCACAATGTATACATATAGCAAAACATCAAATTTATACCATAAATACATACAGTTTTTATTTGTCAATTATACCTTAATAAAGCTGAGGGAAAGAAAAGAATTAACTTGAAGAAAATAACGATAGAAGACATACATCTCTTTTACTGCTAGAAATGAACTTTCGTCAGCCTCATTGCAAAGTAAAATCCACAACTTTCTAATCAGATCTACCAAAAAACCAGCTCCCCCCAAATCAAATTTTATCAAGGAAAAGATTTGAAATGTAGATTTAAATATATTTGCAGTAAAAATGTGATATTAATAAAGAAAATAAAGATGATTTAGTTTTTTTTAAAGAAACACATTTGAAAAAACTGACGTTATTGGATGCATAAATAGAATACATACTGGGTTTAGAAGGATTGTGAGAAAAAGTTCACCTCCTCTGATACTTTTATCCAATTCTTGGGGTCCGCCAGGATACTCTTTGTAGAAAATAGTGTGGGTGAATAACCCACAGGTCTGTCGAGGGAGGACCTGAAGAAAAGGCGGAAAAACAGCACATTGACATGATTCCATTAATATCTTCACCACTGTCTCATGACTTCAGAGTCTGCAAATGATCATTTCCTATTGGAGTTCCTTGGTCGTTAGGATCAAATTCTTACTGAAATCAAGAGCTAATGTTGGCATTAATTATATAAATATTAAGGAAGTTGCCAAATCAAAGCTATAGGACGTATAGGTTAAAGAATTTTCACTGAGTTCTATAAATCTAATCCAACAACTGGGTTATGTTAAAGGATTAGCAAAATTGAATAAATAAATAAAGCCTTCTTAAGATTAATTTCATTCAAGAATGGAGATTCTTCAAGGTTATTTTTCATGCTATTAGGCCATTTCTCTCTGGCCTTCTGACATCCCATCTTGTGTTGTACAGAGGTTTGGGGATTCAACACCATCAGTATTCATCACCCCTTTTACATTAGTTTTGTTTTTACTCACTCTGAATTTAAATTTTATCACAGTAGTAGTAAATTATCTAATGACTGATTCTGGTATATTTTGTGATTATTTCTTTTATAAATCTGAATGTTTAACAGAGAAAGCAATTAAGTAATTTTATTCCAAAACCTTATTTTGAATAATAAGCTACTTATAACCTAATGGAAAAATGCATCTAATTGCACAGACTAGCTATAATTTTTTAAATTCTTTGCCTAATTATCATTACAATTTATATTAAATTTGAGGTAAATGAATGCATGTGATATTGTTATTTCATAATATGTCAAATGGTCATGCAACCTAATAAAGGAAATTTTGGTCCTTTCACTCTGATTTGAAATTATATGAGTAATGCTATTTATACCACCTAGATTTCTATGGACATCAATACCACTATTTGCATTGTCCATGGCTTCATTTAGATCTGAGGCTTCTTTATGTCTTCTGGCACCAATTTACAGTAAAATAAAGTTTTAAGATTAATGAATATTGAGTACCAGCTCTGGTTAGGCATGCATGCATTTTGGTTTTAAATAGTGATTAGATAGATAGGTAGACAATTCTAACAGCAATATGAATAATGGATTGGTAAGGTATAAATATTTAAAGGAGAGAAAACAGTTTGTAAACTATTGCTCTCATCATGATTTAAGTCACTGGAAGTAGAGATGGACATTTAAAAATAAACTTATTTTATCTCGAAGTGTATAATTTTTTATTTCAGTGAATGATTATAAATTCCCATCTAAAATCCACTTGAGTTTATTCCCATTTATAGGAAATAATATAACATAACATTCTTACATCAAGTTATTAGTTTTTCAATTAATATATCTGAAAAGAAAAAATATAACTCCCTTTTTGGAGTATGTAAGGAGAAGATAAAAAGAGCAGTATCCTTAAATACTCGAGTATCTGAAAGCCAAAAGAAACTGAATGGATCAATTTAACTCTCAGATGCTATTTATTTCACTCTGTCTGTTGATAGTGTAGTAATTTAAGAGATGTTTCCTTGATCCATGGAACCTTACTCTGCCTGTAAAACTCTCAGTAAAACCACCCAACCAAATATATACTGAGAAGTTCCCCAGGAGAATTATAGAACCCCCAGGTAAAATTTCAATTCTGAAACGGCAATGGATAATCTATACAAAACTCATTCCTATTAGTTCCAGCTCGTCTTAGACTCGCCAAAGCCACTCCACAGCTTAGGAAAGAAGCTTATAGCCAATGTGTTGGGTGTGGCCAGGCGCCACCATGGTATGTTGGGAATTTCTGATAGTCACGTAAAATAAGGATCTGATACATCCTTGGAGGTAAGGGCACTCTGTCTTCATCCCACAAACATCCCACAAACGGCCGTATGTGCTCACCATGATGCCATTGTGAATGAAGCCCTTTCTGTACCGCGCAGGTTTCAAATGTGGATACTCTTCGGTGCTGGTGACCTGAATACCCCAGACCTTCTTCCAAGCTGAATACAGCTGGATATGAACCGGGTAGACCCCTGAGTGGTGTGGGGCCACGGCATAGCCCATGTTGATAGGGATTCCATGTTCCTGAAAGAAAGCAAGAACAATGCCATGATGGAGTGTGGCCAATTGATTCAAATTGTTTCCACAAACACCTGTTCAGAACACAGTGAATTCTATGCTAAGTATGAGGGGCAAAAAACTAGCAAGTGGAGTTTTTATCTTTCAGTAGCTCATAATCTTATAGCGCTCTGATGGTATAATAGACATAGTAATTACTTTGAGCATGTGGTGTGTGGGAGAGATTAATTCTGAATTTTGGATACAGAAAGTTTTGGGAGAAGATAGGAAGTGAACTTGGCCTTTCCTCAGATAGAAATAGGGGAAATTAAAAAGGTGTCATTTTGGCAAGTGCCCAAAGACAGAAGATGAAAGAGCACCGTGCGTGTGGGCGCATGTGTGTGTCTGTGGTGTTGAAGAAAACCAGAAAGGTAAGTAGGAACCATGAAGTGATGAGCTTTTACAGTTCAACTGAGGGATTTAGAATTAATTCTATTTGAACATTTTAGGTAAGGAAGCTCTCTGAGCATGGAGGGCCCAGATCTCTCCAGATGTTAAGAAGGATCTAGTGACATGTTAAGATGAATTATAAGTGGGGAGAAAATTAATCAAGGCTGTGCATTAGAAAACTATTTATATAGTACAGGTTAGGTATAGATGGGTAACTAAATTAGATTATTGGTAGTCAGGTTAAAAGGAGATTAATGCCATACAAGATCCAGTGAGGTCTGGGATACGGAAGGTGAAGGAAAGATAAAGGTTAAGATTCTCCCCTTGGTTTTGAACCTGAGCAACTCAATTTATTTTTATAAAACCTACCCTTTACTATGAGATGCTTACCTTGGGTAAACTGTCAACTCTAAAGAGGAAAACAGATATAAATTTAAAACAGGAATATAAAAAAGGTGTCAAAGAATGGTATTATATTGCTAGGTACATGAAATAGATCTGCGGTGTTCTAATTTCTGCTTCTTTATATCTCTCCCTTTAAATGCTTATCTGCTTTATAAAGACTCCTTGCAGGATTGAATCTCATCAATTGAGGTTATAAATGACAATGCACAGTCATATATGAAGCTGATTGAATCAATAAACAGAACACAAAAGTGTTGACTTGACAATTGTCATTTATATTTTCTATTACATGGTACCCAGCGTAGAAAAAGAATTCAGTCTGGTATAATAAGCAGACAGCAAATGGATCACATATCTACAATGTCTGAGTCATACACCACGCTCAGCTCAGAAGACGGACCCTAAATATTTCGCACGTCTCCATCATTCTTCCTTTTATGTAATGACCCTCGTTGTGTAGCCAAATTCACCTCCCTTTCACCAAGACGACTCGTGTTCTCTAACATCTATTACAATAAATGACTCTGTAGAAAGCCTGAATTATGAAATCAATGCTGCAAAATGAGCTGCAGTCTTTTGCTAGGCACCAGGGAAAACTCGATTCTCGGTGTGTGGGTAAGAAAAATACTTTCCCCAAAAGCTTATATTTTCAATACAAGGCAACGCTGGAAAATTCCAGTAATAAAAGTACTTGGAAAATACCAGAGAGGGGCAGATAACAGCTGTTACCGTGACACATCACGAGTGTACGTCTACTGGGAAAGGCCCCAACTTCGCTCTGGTTTGTTCCATCCTGCCTAAGGAATGGTCTGAAAGTGCTCTGAGGATGAACAATCACCCAGCAGCCAAAACACTGCAAGGATGTGGGTGCACTGGGCATGAGGCAGAGGTGGACTTCCTCGTGAGACAAAGCCTGGGTCAAGGATGCTCAAACTCCTCTGTCTGGTAAACAGAATTTGTCTGACTGTTGCCTAGAGAGGTAATCCTGATTCACGGGAACAGGAAAAAAATCCATTATCCTCTGTTTTCTCCCTCAAGTGATTCATACTGAGGTTTATACGCCTTGTTCCATAATTTGAAAATAACAAAATCAACAGCATACAAATATGAATAGTCTTTACTAATCACCGTGTTAGTCCTTATTTTCAATCATTGTATAATACTTTATTCCAAATGTGGGGCCTAGAATGCTAGATAAGTAAGTGTCCTAGACACAAAGAGATGAAAAATCAGTGAAAAAATTTGAAAAAATTCAAACAACTATATCTCGTCAGGAAAAAAAAATTCGCTTTTGACAGATAGTAAAATGAATTGTAGAACTTTCATAAAAAACCAGAAGGTAAAAAGCAATTGATTTGGTGAGTAGGAAGGAAGGGGCAGTAAAAAGATTTTATTATATTTATTGATTTCTGGGGCCTTGATGTTATACTGTTCATAAGGTCGTCACATCATACTGGCAACTAGAGCTCAATCAAAACAGTAAATCACACTAAATAATTATGAGTTTATGCTTTTTCAACCGAAATGATAACACAAAGTGAAAAGTAATTCCCTAGTAACTCTTTTCCTGTTATCAAGGGGCTTACTGAACTAGAAACCTTCATTCTTTACTGTCCAGGGTTTAAAACTCACTTCACAGAGACTTGGTCAACTAAAACATGAACTAAACATTGTATTTACACAAGATCACAGAAATGACAAAATTTGCAAGGCTTTCCAATGTAAGTATAGGAAGAGCTTGAAATTCTATAAAAATACACATAAATGACAGAAAACAAATACATGCAAACATGGCTTTTATTATTTTTAGAACCATATCTCTTAGAGGATCTAGGAATTCTGCACTATTATAGTATGACATGCCACCACAAATATTTACAGGGCAGTTTGACTGGATCTAATTTCTCCAGTTACATTAAATCCCAGATGGTTGGGAAATGAGATGTTGTGGTAATTTATAAACTATATAAAAAAAGGGTCAACATTTTTCAAAAATTAGAATAAAATAAAATGCATTTAGCCCTAAAGCTCTAACAACAACTGAATGTCATTTAATTTTTCTTTGATTATTCCTACTGGTTACATATCTCCTTACAATTTCTTTGTACCTGATATTTATTAAGTGTTTTTACATTCATGTCTAATGTGATCCTCATAATAATCCTGTGAGGACTGGATGTTGTTCATAAAATATGGAAACAGGCTCAGAAAAAGTATATGACTTGTTCACATTCACGAGTGCCAGAGCTAGACTTGTAGTACCCAAGGCCTCTAAATTCATAGTCTTTGCTTTCACTTTTCCACTAAGTTGATTCTGCTGTGATCCCTCTCCTCCCCACAGTTAATAGCTGAAAGCACTTTACTTAAAAATGGGAATTTATTTATATATATATTTCTGAACCGGAATTCCTATCTACTTTCTCTTTTTTTTTTTTTAGCTTGGAGAGGTTATAAAGCAAACATCTACATTTCTCAAAATCCTCTGCAGCTAACCGCCCCCCCCCTTTTTTTTTTTGAGACAGAGTCTCACTTGTTGCCCAGGCTGGAGTGCCGTGGCGTCAGCCTAGCTCACTGCACCCGCACACTCCTGGGCTGAAGTGATCCTCCTGCCTCAGCCTCCCGAGTAGCTGGGACTACAGGCACGCGCCACTACACCTGGCTAATTTTTCTATTTTTTTTTGTAGAGATGGGGTCTTGCTCTTGCTTAGGCTGTGTGGCTATCATTGTTAATGAAAATGAGGTTCAGCCAATTAGAAGTACTCACGACAAATTTCCGAGGGTGGTAGGGCGGCAGAGGCTAAATTCTGGCAGCTTCTGGCTCCTGTTGTTTGGCAGGTAAGAACTTGAAAACAAGAGGCTCTTCTGCAGCGGTGGTTGGGGCCCATTTGCAAGGCAGCAGCAGAGGTTTATTGTTTCTGGGAGCTTCAGTAGCAGCTGAAATGGTAGCTCCCCTGGGGAACCAGTTGTGTATGGCCCTGGGAGTCCCGCAGGAGTACAGCCTAGAATCTGCTCCATCAGCCCTTCCAAAGTTTTTGGAAGCACTTAAATCATTGAATGAAAAAACTCCTTATTTAAAATAACTTAAAAGTGGCTTCTGTTTCTAGCTTGGAAACCTGACTGAGAGAGCTGGTCTTTACCCCTTTCTAATAAGTATAATAGCTTTAAGAGGTTCAGGTGAGATGTCTCGTGGTTTCAATTCTACAAAACGAGAAGAATTTGGTAAAGTACTGCCCATACTTCTCCAATGAAACTGATTGCTATGTGGCAAACACCTATCTGGCTAGCTGGACACTATCATGCTGTATCTATGACTGTTAAATCTTATGTCTTGAGCAGCCGATGGGTACTGTATAGAAAATAAATAGGAGACTACAGTCTATTTCAATAATAAATACCAAATACAAATCAAAGCGATTAAATTCAACTACATTTGAAAAAATTGTTATTGAGTTCATGACTTACATATCAAGCACTTTGCTAAGTACTGGGTAGACTGCCTGTAAAACATGGCCTCTGCCTCTATGAAGTTTGAAATCTGGAGACAACTGTGGAAATCAGTCAGATAGATTCATCTTAATTCTTATTGAGTTTTGACCTAACAGTATTTAATTTTGAAAAAAAATATAATTTTTAATTTCTAGACATTTTTCTAGTGGGAAAAAATGACATCTCTGACATGAACATCTGTGAAAATCACCCTTTAACATTGTCTTAATAGATATTTAAGTTAAAATAAAAAACTATGATCTTGAGGCCTGCAATTTTAATTTTCCTTAGGATTTTATTAGTAATTGGGTAAATGCAATTCAATATAATAAATTATGACTAAGAAGCATTTGATAAAAGTAGAGTATGGATAATTACTAGTGTTGTGATGATAGCTCTAGTGATGTGGTTGAATGAGCAAGATTTTGGCCCAATGATGCTTTGTTGTTGAATTTTTTCTACACCCAAAAATAATCAAATGGCATTTAGATTCAGAGATAAAGTACTGGTACTTCCAAGAATGATTTCTTTATGGTTTTTAGATAACAGTTAATAAGTATAAATTTTAGAATTAAAAGGATAATAATCTCATAAAATACTGAAAGGAATAAACTACTCCAGATCAATGGCTGTTGTAAAAAAAAAATGAATATCTTGAATCAATTTGTTTTAGTTTTAATATGAACAGAATTTATATATATGACTCTGTTAAAGATAAGCTAGAAAAAGATACCATTATTTGATCCTATGTATTTCTCATGGAATTCATATTAAAAATAAGATTGGATATTTAATAATAACTTAAAATCTTAAAAATAGGACAAATGGGTATATATTAATATATCCAAATATACATTGACAAATATAAATAATTTTAAATGGTATATTTCCACTCTAATCTATGTTTGCATTTTTACCATTAGTCTGCTTTCAAAAATAATAACCTCATCTATAATTCACCAGGATGAACTCATCCAGTGGTTCCTTGTTGTGCTTGGGTTAAAGTCCAACCTACTTAACTTCACTCTCCGAATATCAGTAATAGTTTCCTCTGGGGCACATTCTCTGGCGATGCTCTCCCATCCCAGACTGAATTTGGTCCTATAAATGTGGGCCCTCACAGTCTTCCATGAATCTCTCTATATTAACACCTTCTCTCCTGCATTTGAATGACCTTACCAATAGAACCTAACCCCTCTGTGTATATAGATTCTTCCTTTTTCACATAATTATCACAGGAATCTATCACACTGCAAGGAATATAGCAAGTCCATAATAAAATATTTATTATTCCAAACAGAATCCTGTAACTTGGACTCTGGGGACAGACCGTGTGGATTTGCCACTTATTAATCGCATAACCTTGAGAGATTTCCTTTTCTGTGCCTCCAATTTCTCATCTATAAAATGAGGTTAATAATATTAGGGGATTAAATAATGAAAAGAATAAATGAGTTAATATTTACTATGCTTAAAATAGTGCCTATGAAATCATAAGCTCTATTTAAGTGTTCAGAA